GGATAAAACTTTATTCGAGCACTGTATCTTTTGAATTAATTGATAAAAATATATAAAAATAGTATCAATCGATAGTTTACATTATAAGGATGACGAATTTAACATAATATGAATTTCGACACATGTGATCATAACACTTTATTCTTCCAATGGGACGAAATGTTTGTTCCGTGTGGGAATCGAATCTGCGTTTCCACAGCAGTATTCTTTAGTTGCTGCGTAAATAGTTAACGAAGCATTTTGCGTAGGCTTGTCCTTTTTGTTATTGTATATGTTATTTAAAAAAGGTGTTTCAAGAAACATGTCACAATATAACATTTGTGATTTATAAAAATTGCAGGTTAAGTTTTCATTCATAGATGGATATCCTATTTTTAAATGAATAGGGACAAATATTTACACAGACCATTAAAATAAATTGCGGTCGCCGCTAATAACATCAGCTGGCTGTACAAAAACTTGTCCAACTTAATAAAAAAAGTGGGAGCCGAGCGAAGTCGGTTACCGGTCTAATGGAGACGGACCTGCTACTCAACCGCGCAGTCCTACCGTAATTAATATTTACCTATCCTATTTTCAGTAACAAAGCTTTTTATGTTACATTTAAATTATGACACATGTTATAAATATCATTAGGTATTACATTTATTTTCAATCAATAATAATCTTTTAAAATAAGTTTAAACGACATTAATCAATCGAATGAAGACCGATGTAAAAAAAAATGCTAAGTAAAATTATTTATACGAGTTCGGGAAGTAAAAAAAACGATCGGACACTCATGCGCAGAGTAAGGCTTCGACGCAACAGCGGGAGCAGTGAACTGAGGAGTGCACTGTATCCTTGAAACGGTCCCGTATGGGAGCTCGGCGTTAGAGGGAGACGGCAACATTGTGCGCGTTTCTAACATTTTACAATGATGACGTCAGGACCAAAGAGTCAAATTTAAACAGATAGGCTTTTCCTTTCATCGACATCAGCACCTGTTTATAGAATAGATAGTACAGGTTTATTTGTCAACCGGATCCGGGACTTCTTTACATGTGACTTCATCAGATTTTGTTTCGATATCAGTTCCACAAGAAACATGAAATCAATAACCAAGTTATTAGATATTTATGGTAAATCCATTATTCTGTTATCTTTAGATAAACATAAAATATCAATAATGGTAATTAAAATATGTTTAAACTGTTTTAAGGAAGTTTCTAAAGCTACAACTAGATACGATTTTAATAAATAAATAAAAGAACAGCAAAAATAATTCAAAGAAAAAAGAACACATTTCTGAGACAAATATCCAAAAATTTGTAAGCAAGATGTAGATTGAAATATAACAACTATTGTAATATGAGACAGAGATAACTAATTATCATCAAAATTATTCGTTTCTACAAAGTCGATTTAGTCACCATCTCCACTTTTACTTGTTAAAGTGTACGATTTTGCTAACAAAAAATATTATATTACAAGAAATTGAAGTAGTGCCTAAAATAAACTTTTATTTTAGTTTTTATCTACCTCTATTTAATTTAGGAAATTATTGACAGAACTCCTTGACTAGTCTACGCACCAATATAGTTAATCTATGCAAAGGTTCAGTCATTCACTTTTCATCTCTTTCTTCCACACCGAACGATGTGATACAATGTTCTTTTCGATACAACCTTACCATATCTAGTAGGTGGCTTCGTCGGTACAACGCTACCACAATACTGACCTGTTCACAATAACCGGTTAATAGAGACGTGAAAATTGTACCTGAGGCGACTTGTCTCACAAGCTCTTCAGTAATACTTATGACTCGGTATCGGTATCAACTCGGGTGTGCTGGTGCCCTCGCACCCTAAAACTTGACAACAAAACAATGAAGTGTGTATAGTGACAAAGAGACCTTACTTTGATCCCCGAAGGTAGTGTTCATCTCCAATACATTTTATTAAAACGATAAAAATTTCGCGCAACTTTTTAAAAATAGGAGCCGGTTTTTGTATTTTTTTTTCCTTTTATGCACGAGCTTTCTTACTGTACTTCTTCGTGGTAAAATATTTTGCTATTGTTTATCTAAACGTGGATTATTTTAATTGGAATTGGTTAACGTCTTGTTACTTATTTTGAATTAACACGTCCGTTGTTTCCGTGTTTAAACTCGAGAAATAAACTTCTTCGAACTTTTTCGGAGGTAAAAAATTTAAGATCGTAATCTCGATATTATGTTTTGATGTTAACACTGATATCAACTTCTGGATATTTTATTGCTTTTAATTACAATGTATTTCGATGAATGATTTTCGGAATTGTCTTTTAATTTTAGTTGAAACTACAGTTCGATAAAAGTTGTAGTTTCTTCTGTACATATTCTCGTGATGCCTAAGCGAATTTAATATTATAATAATTGTCTTGTTATATTGTTTTATTGCTAATTTTCTTTGAATGGTAAGGGTTTGTCTGACTTTTAGGGGTATGTTTACGGCGACTATATGTACGTAAATTTTAGATTAAATTTAAATTTTACCCCGATTCTAGTCTCTCCCATAAGATTTTTAAAATACCAAAATATATAAATACAACTAAAAACAGTTGTTAATCCAATCGTTAACCATATCCTAAAATCGTATTATCGTTATACTGATGTACCGAAGTATCAAATATATTTTTGGGGTGACTTGAGTATGTTATAGATACAGGTACTGAAGGAAAATAATGTTGTGTTGTTCAGTACTGAGAGTCCGAATAGAACATATTTTGGTTTTATTGATAGAATACCTAAGTCCTTGAAGGCCTAACGGGTTGCCAGGACTCCGGCTCGAAGTGCAGGAGTAGGAACGGGGTAGTTTTTAGTCAGTAAGAGTTTGACATTTCCTCTCGCCTAATCCAAGGCGGGAGAAGTCATTGGATAATTTTTCCCCTCAAAAAAGGAATTTTAAATCAAACCCCGTTAAGAAAAAGTTCTAGTTATTAATCATACAATCCTAAGTAAGTAAGAAGCATCCAATATAGTTTTATAATTTCCATAAATATTTTGTAAAATATCGGTTAAGTTATTTTATTTTAATATCTTTCGAATAAAAACAAATATTTATTTTGCTTTGTTTTTTAATAAAGATTAATATTTGTTTCAGTTTTTTTTGCAATAAAATAACTAATTAATATAACATACTTATTTACGATTAATTAATTAGAATCAGTCTGATTTTTGTATTTTTTTGACCAATCTGTAAAGTTTCCCACCACAGCACAAATAATTTATCTTTTATCAATAATGACAGATTCGTTCATATACACTATTTAAGTTTCAGAAAAACAATATTTTATTAAAATTATAATAAAATATTTAAAGTATGTATATGATAATTGAACATTCCGATTATTTAATATTTTATTTTAATTTATGATTATTCAAATTATGATAAGATAAGGGACACAGTTCATATTGTTCCTAATAAATCCAGTAAACAATAATTATGGAATCAAACATATGTAGGTATGTATACTAATAAAATATATATTTAGACTTTATTCTAAGTTTTTCCGAAAATCTTATTGTTTAAAATGTTTTTCAGAATTGAAACGCGAGGAATATTACTTCCTTAGCAGCGCCATAGATGGCGATACGAGCTATAATTTCCTTTACAGGATATACAAAATACTGGATCCCTGTGAAAGTTACTTTGAAAGAGATTTTAATATAAAATAATAATATTTATTATTAACGTTCAACACCGTCCTTATAAAGTTTTGTTTCGAAATACAATTAACACACAATTTAAACTTATTAATTTCACGTCTTTTGACAATCTACCAAAAGGATAACATTTTAGGAATGAATTCTTATTGTCTTATTGATTGAATTCCACTTTTAAGCTTTATTTAGGTTGTTTTAGAAAAAGCATGCACTATTGCATGTGCCATGGACATGGATAAATAAAATAAAAGTAAATTATTATTTTACTAGCTGACCCGGCAAACTTCGAACTGCTTAAAAAAATATATTTTTCTCACCTTTTAAACCTTCCCTGGACTTCCACGAACATTTCAAGACCAAAATTAGCCAAATCGGTTCAGACGTTCTCGAGTTATAGCGAGACTAACGAACAACAATTCATTTTTATTTATATAGATAGATAGATGGATGTATAAAATAACCGACTTCGACCCACTCTTCTTTAGATATACTAAAACCTTCTTCTAATTATATTAATAAACACTTTTCTAAAAATCACATCAAAATCGATTTGACCAATCGCGAGATATTTGCGCACACACATGTATTCGTACACACATACGTACAGGTCAATCTGAGAACCTTATATTTCTTACTAACTTACAAAAGAATTTAACTTAACATCCTTTATCCCTGAAGTGGCAAGCAGAGGTGCACATTACGGCAGTTAATGCCACTATACAATGTAACACCCACTTTTCACTATTCATGTTATGAGTCCCGTGTATTAGGATGTGAGCCTGTTGCCATACACCGAGCACAATTCCAAACTCTGTGCTATTACTGAGAATATTTAAAAAACCCAGTAGTATTTTGCCCGAACTGAGAATCGAAGCCCTTGCCCGGTAATCGCACTTGCGAGCAGAGCACTCGGCCAACGAGGCAGTCAAAAGAGTAAAATAAATGGATTTATTTTTTATTTATTTAACACTTTAAGTACGACTGTATACAATGGCGGACTTAATGCCGAATAGCATTCTCTACCAGCCAACCATTTATGTAGGTAATAATCAAGTGATAGAGATAAATAATAAATAAACATTACTTTTTGTGTAACTTTTATTCCTAATAAGAGCTAATTACGTGTTACTAAGGTACCAGGTAAACAGATACCCCTTATCTGTTCATAGGAAGTACATTGTTCGTTCCGTCGATTTTTTAAGACGTCCGGTCGCGTCCCTACCTTCGCGATAACAAGTTTATAGCTTTAACACCTTGGCCTTCGAACAAAGGATATTCTGAAGTTAAGGGAAATTCTTTTCAACCTTTTGTTTTAACTTTTTAAGTGTTCGGTTGACAAATATGTGTGTTATGTTAAAGGACTGTTGTTGTTTGTGTGTGTCAGGTTGGTTTTATGTAATGACTGTTCTTAAATACTCTTCGAGAACTTCAGCATGGTTTGAAGGGTGTTATACAATCACATACATAGCATTTGTTTAAGTAGTTACAATTTTCTGAAGAATTATTTCGTGCAGGAATCGAATTCGTGGTACTAATAGATACTAGTTACACCTGGGACTAAACGACCGTGGAATTAAATAGTACGTAATAAAACTACAAAATCGCATTTATACTTAACCGTTCAAGTTGTAGGATATTTTTGGTCTCGTATTTTGAGACCTGATATTAAAAGAGGTTTTATAGCGGACCAGTTTTGAGCTGGGAACGTTCTAGAAATGTGTAGTACAACATTTGTTCTTTTTTTAAAAACGATTCCAAAGTACACGGTTGAATTGTCAAGTACAAATATAGAAACTGGGTCCTAGTTTCTTTTGTTTTTGTGACGTCCCCTAGGTGGTCCTTTTAAAGGACAAGTCTGGTCGGAACTTCCTACTTATGTTCTAAATGATTGTTAATATTGATTATTATCAGTAGCTGCAAAGGAAACAAAGAGCCTTTATCAGTCTTTTGCCGTTATATTATCTCCAAATACGAAACAAACAACCATTCGCATCTATAATATGATTTTATAAACATTTATTAGAAGACTTTTGAGCCAGGGCTCTATGGCTTAGATTCTATGGTCCGCATCTGGTGCTGCTATCGAGAGTATTCGGTATTTGAAAATTGTCTGCTCGACATTCGCATAAACGCGATGTATGGATATAGATTCGCTCCCTATTACAGAATGTCTTTAACGTAACGAAAAGTGGGTTGTCCGCAAAAGACGTAATAAGGATAGAGGTCGGAAAATTGCCAGAATTCGTTTTGATCAACTTAAATGCTTGTCTCTCGGTATGTGAACGCATACTTTTCATAACGAAGGAGCTCAATTAAACGGTACGTGAGTACAGGAAAATAATCATGAACATCTCAGTACCCAACTACAAGTATCTTCAAGAGAAATGTAGGTTTACTTTTTTCGCTGTAAACGAAAACAGAACTGCACCGGAATCGAGCCGGGCCCAAAACGGACAGGTTTCGCATCAACCGGTTACTAGGCACGATGTTCAGGGGACGTTACACCGACACACGTTGCTTATACATTAAACATGCCGATTGGGCTATTTGTTTATCGAAACTTAATTTATTTCTTTACGATAACGTTACTTTTCTAGAAATACTTGTGTAGTAAAAAAAACCAGTCCGACCCTCCAAGAAAAGAAATATGATAAAACTTGACAGCGTCAAATCTTTTCACACCAAAATAAGATTCAGACTGACGCACTGATCAATAAACAACTTTCTTTCGCAATATTAGTATGATAACCCCATACAAAGTACTTAAATTAACGATTGGAACAATCCGCTTAGCAATTAAAATATGACAACGAGCTTTCCTAATGAATTAACAAAAGATTAGAAAGCCTTGGTTAAAACGGTTTCACTCGCCGCTCATGGAAAGTACAAAGGACGAATGAACAGATCGGAGCGAGCCAGATTACGTTTATTTCTGTTAATCTAATCTCCGTTTTAATATCAGTGCAACCCGTCGAACTAGTGACGTACTATAGCTCAGCCTAATCGTTTAATAGGCGAGTAATTAATAAGTAGCAACCAGTTTTTTAGGAACAAGGTCGAACCTAACTTAGTTAATTAGGTACATAGTTTACACTAAAGTTATTTCATACTAGATAGTTCCGTCGATTAAATTGACTGCAAACACTAAGTAAATCTCGCAAAATACATCAGAAAAACCAGTGTTAAAAAATTTCTTTGATTACTTAAAAAATTACATCATCACTATTT